GATGACCTTGTGGAGGAGGGGGCAGCAGTAGCTGTACTACTACGACGCATCATAGAGGGTTGAGCATCGGTATGGTATCCACTGCTGCTGTGATGTTCAGAACGGATCCGAGAGACTTGAGGGCGTTCGTCGGGATATCTGAGGTGCTGGGCGTTGTATAGGGTTCTGGCCTTTGTATCTGGGCTGACATCTCTATATCGAGCCTCAGCCCTGTCGCGTCTGCGTTCAGAATCGGATGAGCGAGAACGGTCACGACGGAGAGAAGAATAGGGATCTTCAAAGGATTGCAAGCGTAAATCCTTTTCCATTCGTCGAGCGAGCTCTTGCTCCACGTCCATCTCCATTTGCCTTTGGTGAAGAGGTCGACCTCTCGAGTCGACGGGTTGGTAAGACAACGGTCCCGGCTTGACCGGGACCCCATGGGAGGAGAGGGAATCGCGTTCGCGACTCTTGCTGCGTGAGCGAAAACTGTCTTTGATCGAGTTGAACCACCCCTTGGAGTGCTCGTGACCGATCTCGTTCGGGAGGTATCCCCCTGGAGGAGCGATCACCGAATCAGAGGCCCCCGGCGAAACAATATATTTCTCATGGGCGGTGTTGGAGCGCGGACGACCGCGGGAGTTGAGGTCAAGGCTCTGGGGTGAATACCGTGGGTCGTACGGGAGGACGTTCATAACTTGTCCTCTGGGACCGTAGTAGACCATTTGAGGGGAGTGCTCGATGGGTTTGACTTGCATATTGGATTCGAGAGGGAGAGTGATGTAGTAACCGTGAGTTCCGTAGGCTATCGAGCCTGTACGCTTTCGTTTTTGTTCTTTAAAGACGGGTACTCCTGTAACAGGAGTGTTTTGGTAGAGGAGGTGTTGGGGGGCAACCTGTTCTGCTATTTGTCCTCTACTCGCGCTTTTTGATCTCGAGCGACCAAACATGATTGCTACGTCACTGAATTATTGTATTCTTTTGACAAAAGAAAAATGTAAGTCAATCGTTCGGGTGGGCGTACACCCAGTGGGAATACAGTTACCTACCACAGAAGACCGAGGAGACTTGCAACGAGGCGTAGGGCGTATGGGTAAATGGGTTCCGACTGAGCGGTATCGATTTGCTAGAAAGGGTCGATCGAGGATGTCGGGGAAACTGTAGGTCTAATCGCTTCCCTCTCTGCTCCTTAAATATGCACTACCCCCATATGGACTACCATGGAGACAGATGAAGGCGGGGGTGATATTCCCAGCGGAACATCGCTCGCATGTTCTCCAGCAATGTCCTCCAGAATCCCGACACTTTTGCTCGGGCTGCGTGGAAGCCATTTAAAAAAAAGACATAGCGCGGTGTGGAAGTGACTGAGTGACATCGCCTCGCTTTGAATGGCGCAGGAGCGTAGCCCACCCAACCTACCGGTTCCACTGTCCCATTTGAAAAGCCAGAGGCTGGTTCGCTTGGAAAAGCGCTAATTGGCAACCTCGGTTTAATGACGCATTATTTTCCAGACTGTTTGAGGACAGGAAAAGGGATTGAACGACACGTCGGAGATCAAAAAGTGGGCCAACGTGCAGACGCGTCAATCACCCTCCCCTCCTCGACATGTTCTATTAGAAATTGCTTGTACAGAGCTCCCAATCTGCATCGGGACCATTTGCACACTTGGTAGGCTGACTTTTCAGGGGGCAAATCGATCGAAACAATCTCGTATATCTCTTAGCAGATACCAGCATCAGTCACCGCAAGCGAGTAAATTGCAACACACTGATAAGATGAGAGAGAAAAGCGTATGTAGTACATACAAGCGCGATAACCCCAACAGCAGCTCTTTGAACGTGTCAGTTAGAAACCCGGGGGAGTCCCGTAAATGATCAAAGCCGAACGTTGCAAAAATGGCATTCAGAGGTCATGAATAGCCTGCTTCTTTCTGCTCTTCCTCGATTTGGAGGTCTACGTCGGTCCCGTTGGCAGTGGCATTCGTAGGCTGGGGAAACGGCAATGGCCGTCAGTGACTTTGCACTCGGCTAGCAGACTCGCCAAAAATGTTGAATAAAAGAACCAAAGAATCATACTCACCATCCTCATCTTTGCAAGGTAGATCTTCAACGGCTCGACGTACTGTTCGAGACCCAACAACATCATTGCGTACAGCACATCCTCCCCTCCAATTGTTTTTCTCTTCTCATCGTGACATTTTTCAGCTGCTTCAGCGGTTATGAAACTGATGAATTCAGAAACGCATTCTTGAACTGCCTCTTTCGCC